TAATTCTAAATAAGCTGGATCTTCCAAAATCATTCTAGAATATAAAATTCGAATACTGGTAGCCCTCGGTGTATGCCACAGTTCCATTCCTACAAAAGCCGGTGCAAATCGAATCAGAATAAAAAATACGCAAATAATTTTGTTTATTAATACAATATAATACAAAATACATATAAATTTAATACTTAAAATGTATTTTATCATAAAATAAAANTTTTTTTTTATGTAGGATCTTTACATTATTTTGGTCAATATTACAGTTATTTAACGTACAATGTTCTAGAAAGGCTGAGTTGATTCTATGATGTTTTAAATCTGCCACATGTTCTTTTAGTCTAATCTTCATCTTTCTCTTACATCTTCCTCTCAACAAAAACTGAAATAAATGAATGAGTTATGCCAGGTGTTGATTATTATGCTGCATTGCGGTTTTGAAAAAAATAAATAAATAAACAAAGCATTACTGTATCAAAGTGTGGTACAGATGGATATAAAGAGATAACATCAATTTTGTAAAATTGATATGTTTTGGGTGAGATTGTTTCTACCATTTTGATAATAATTGATTTGATCTCCAATGTTGAGGAGATGAATTACTAGAATGGGAGATTAATGCCATAAAAAAAAGATTGCTAGGGCCTTTTCTAAGAAATAAATGGGATAAGTGCATTTGTTAACTAATGGGCATGAAGACCACCCAGGCTTGTGTAGTTTAATCTCAAAGAAGCACAAGCAAGTCACATTTGTAAAAGGATGCAGAGAGCTGGTGATAATGGAAGTAAGATCAGAACATGGGATATTTTTCTAGTTGTCCGTAAGACTGTAGGAGTGGGGTCACTGTACAGTCTGGACAGTAGATCCACATTATGCCAAAAATTGTGTTGCTCTAGTTGTGAAGTCAGCATTGAAACATAGGACAAATCTTTTAGTTTTTTCCAAAATTAATTGTATCAGGTTTTTGTTGTGGAGGAACTGCTTCACCAATCTACAATTCTTGTTAACAGTCACAGAGTTCTATATATGATTGGAAGAATAAAGTTCAGATATAGCTGCTATTTCCAAACTGGGTTGCAGGTGCTGACAACTTTTTGCCACTGCCATGATGGGATGAATTAACTGGGCTGTGGAAGCTTTTATTTATAGAATGTACTTAGGACCATATTCTAAAATGCAATGAATATTGTTATGATCTATGGCATTAGAGTAACTTTGGTACTGTATCTTGTGAGGATGATTTGAGTTGTGGCTGGAAGACTGCAGGAGCCAGAGAAATTTTTTGTTTATTTTTTTCGGTTACGAGTCATTGTTTATACAAGATGGATTGAATTTTAACTGGTTGATTATACAAATGCATTGGATTGCATGCTAATGTTATCCTTTCCAACTTGCAAATATTTGCAATGAAAAACTAAGGTTGGATATTTTTTGATCACACCTTGTATTTTGCTAGTTCTTTTGTTCTATCTTTTACTGTTGCCCATTTAGCCTTCACCACAAGTTGTGATTTCATGTGTTTGTATAATTTTGTATATTCTTTGTTTGCTTGAGGATGACATTTCAAAATGTTGAAAGTACTTGAATGTATTCAATTTGTGAAGTAAATAAATTTAATGTTGAAAGACAGTACATTTCTTCATAATCCTAGCAATAAAATGAACAAAAGGAGAAAATAAAATATCACTGTAATTACTCATATATAATCTGCACTGAAAATGTGTCACGTTCAGAGATTTGAATTACTGTATTACATAAATGCAGCTATGTGATTTTTTTTATTTTCATTTGAACAGTTTTCTGGAAAAGTAGCATTGATGCAGATTATATATATATATATATGTAAATATATAAATATGGGGAAATTTAATTTCCCCATATTTACAAGTTATGGACAGATCCAGAAAATTTACGTTAATGTCACTTTTCTGTTCCATTGATAAAGTCACACCATATGGGTTATTATTAATTTTGTTAAGGAAATATTGAGTGCTATCACTATTCCTCCAAATGATGAAAACATCATCAACATATCTTGCATATACAAGCATATACAAGTATGTCATTTATAGTACAGAAGTTTATTCTATTCCTTTAAGTGACCGCCATTTTAATTCAGATCTCGTTTACGTTGGTGCCACTATGAGACTTTTAAAACAGAGGCTTAAAGAACATAAGTATTCCATTACTAAAAACGTGGACAGCATCGTCCTTGCAGCCTTTGCTAAACATCTAGATATTAATGTACATTGGGAGAAAGCATCCATAATTAGGACAGCCACCAACAAACAAGTACTTAAACATATTGAAAAACTTGAAATTTACAAGGCGCATATTAACAAAGGATGCGTCAAACATAGAGATGCAAAAAGTCTATCTTTCGTATGGAAATATTTTTACCATGACGATTAATTTTCTTAATACTTTATTTAATTTAATTCTTTACCGTGATTAATTTTCTTAATATTTTATTGTAATTTAATTTTGTTTTTACGTTTTATTTTATTTTTATTTTGTTGTAATTAATTTTCAATTTTTAAACCGTTGTATCGCTTGCGTTCTATTTTACATTTGTTTTTGTTTTAATTAATTAAAGTGGCTTAACTGAAGAAGACTATTAAATATAGTTGAAAACGTTTTTATTTTATTAAATACTTTGTTGCTGGAAATACTAAGGTGTTTGATTATTTTGATTAAATTAAGATATATTTTTAAATCCTTTCTATTTGACCATTGAATATGTGCCATTTCATATCATTTGGGTATCGTGATAAACATGACAATGGTAGGTTGAAATAACCACTCTTCATCTGGTTTTTGTTTTAATGGTGGTTATTTTATAGAATTTGATTTATATAACTGAAAATGTTATCTTGCATAAGGATTTATCACACTGAGTGCCCAATCTAACACATTTAAAAAATTTTTTATTTTTCTACTGTAACAAATTTAAAGAATTTTTAAAATATGTTAGATTGGGCACTTGGTGTGATAAACACTTATGTAATATGATCTTTGTCAATTAATCAAATGATATAATATAATATTATAGAAGGGTTAGAAGTACAAAATAATCTAACGATCTTAATCTTTGCTGCTGTTACTTTTTGCTCAAGCAATGCCTGGTTCATCTACTGGTTTACAATAAATACAGTAAAGTTCCAGAAACTTGACTCTTGATAACTCAACATTCAATAAAACTCATTGTGTTATTCAAAACAAAATAAAAAGTGTAACCCAATTTTTACCTTTAGAACTTAACACTAGGATCAAATAAGTTATCATTCTTGATTGGTGACACACTATAATAGCATCAATTCCATGTGTCAATGAAGAATATAACTCTTTTTCTAAGGTGTGACTGCAAATGTCACTAACTCAAAAGTATCAATATTTTTTAAAATTAAAATTTAACCACAAATAGAAATAGCCACTATTGATACATATACAATTAGTTAATATGTATACAAATTTGCAAGTATAACATCTTTGCAAAAATTCTGCTATTTAGACTTGCATCATTGCTATGAACAAAAGACTTATCACTTTTGGTACTCATCACCTTTTCAGTCTATGTTAAGTCAAATTTTCAAGACTTTCCCATTTTAGTAATTCAAAAAACAAAAAATAGCAGATATTTACACAGTTATGACTGTACTTCTCCTTAAGTTAAAGCTCATATATATTCTTGGGCATTGAAGTTCTCAGAAACAGATAACTTACAAATTTTACCTTGAGCTAATCTACTATCTGAAAACATATACATTTCTTCTGTAAAAGTTCGTCCGATGGAGAATTATTTTTAATAAAATAAAAGACAAAACTGTCCAAAAATGATCACCATTTATTACTTGTGTTCCAAGACTAAAACATTTTCGGCGACTGACCTTCCTTTTTAGGCTACTTGTCGCCGTAAAGTTCACAAAAAGTCCTTTTAAAAACACAAAACATCCAATTAAAATTTTATAAAATTTTTGAAAAAGGAACTGGTGACATGCAGTTGTCTTGCTTCCATCATACATTCTTTTGGGGTTTTCTTTTTCTTTTTATCTACTAAAGAGTAGCGCTGGAAAATGTAGATTTTTAAAGAAGTTGCCCCCTGGTGATGATATATGTAGAAATTTCTTCTGTAAAAGTTTGTCCGATGGAGAATTATTTTTAACAAAATAAAAGACAAAACTGTCCAAAAATGGTGATCCTTTTTGGACAGTTTTGTCTTTTATTTTATTTTATATACATTTCTTATCTTTCATTTTGGGAAAGTTATTGTTTGAAATTATAAATTATTAGATAAGTTACGTATCAAAATTGCACTGAAGGTAAGCCTAGTACTTAAACGTAAGCTTATGAGTTTTTTAGAAAAGAGTTATTTATAGAAATATTTTGCATATATAATTTTATATTTTATGCTTATTAAAAATACAAGATTATGAAACTAAAAAACTGAGACAACTTATCAAATATGGTAAGTGAATCACAAAAATTAATAAAGTGTGAACACACACTTGATGCTAAATTACATAAATAACACTTTAAACAACTGTCTTTTGGTGTTAAAAGTTTTTGTATAAACATAAAATACATGCACAAATACTTTGATGATAAATCACAAAAATATAATAAAGTACAAAAATAATTGACTGTGAAAATATAAATGAATTTCTTTATTAACTTTTTCTATAAGTCTCTTCCAACTATATGAGCATTCATATTTATAACTTTTTATATTATTGTGGAATTATTTATATTGTAATTTATTGAAACAGAGGTAAAAATTAGTCATTTTTAAGGGAAATTTAAATGTCTAGTTATTGAAACTATAAAATTACTGTAGAAAAGTTGATACTGATCTAACAAAAATATAGATGAAAATTTTGATTTTAAAATGTAATATATTTTTCAGCAATATACTTTTATTTTAATGGTTTAAGTAGGTGAAATGCCAAAAATATTTTAAATTTTTATGAATTAACTTTGGCTCAAATAAATTATTTTTCCCAATGTAGAGTGTCATGTTTCTTGCAAAACCTGCTATGGTGCTGGCATTGATGAATGTGTATCTTGTCCTGAAAATGTAAAACTTTCCTTTGGAAGTTGCTCTTCAAAATGTACACCAGGAAAATATCTTGACTCAGATGGAAACTGTAAAGGTAAGGTGGTTATTTTTACAAATAAAATACTTTTCTTGAAAATTTATGTAAATTTTTGATATAAGCTGGTAAACTTAAAACATTCTTTATTATAAAATTTAAATCAAATATTTTCTTATCGAGTTATAAGTATTGAAAAGTTCACTAATAATTTTACAGAAAATAACTGGTTGAGATATAATATACATTAAGTTGAATAAATGTGATAAATATGAAGAGAATGTTTAATGAACAACTCATATCAACACTTCTTACTTCCCAGTCATATTTTTTTAATTAAACAAATGTTCCCAGTTTTGGTTTTTATACTTTAATACCTAATGATTTAAAAAGGTTTTTCTTTTTAAAGTAATGAGTATGTAGAATGATAATTCAATAAATTAAAAGATATATTTTATTTGTTCTTAAAACAATGGACTTCAATTTGCAACTAGAAACAAAAATGATGATATTTAGTTCAAGGAATCAAAATGCAGCTCACTCTATGACATTTTTGTAAGATATTTCGTATCTCATTGTCAAATTGAACATTTAACAAACAGATTTTAACATAGAACTTATTAATAAATTTGAATAATATCTAAACAAAACAAAGTTTTTAAAAATATTTTGATTTTGTTTTATTTTAATAAAGTTTTTGTTTAAAAATCAAAATATTCCAATTATAATAAATTAATAAATTAGTAATGTAATAAAGCAATCATATAACAACACTGTATGTAAATAAAACCTGCTAAAATTAATCAACTTGAATTGGTAATAATTAATCTTCAAATTACACATTTCTGTCTAGGCATTTTATGGTGATGTTAAGCATCACACCTTTGGATCTAAATATGCCCCTTTATTCTTTTTATTCAAAATTGAAGATTAGTTTATAACAAATTGGAATTTTATAACAAATTCCAGATTATTCACAGTAATCAATATGCATACAAACAGGGATATTAGACGATAGACGCTTTGTTGCATTTGAAATTGGATAAATCGAATATAGTTTCACTCTTCATAGATCTCTCAAAGCATTTGATAGCTTGAATCTGGAACTTTTAGAATTCAAATTGCAAACTGTTGGCTTAAGAGGACTTTCTTTAAGATGCTTAAAATCATATTTGTTAAACAGAACTTACTATGTTAAAAATGGACAGGCTATCTCCAGTTTGTTTAAACCAAACAAGGGCATTCCTCAAGGTTCAATTTTAGGTCCTCTGCTTTTTAATATATATATTATGGACAAAGAGATTAATTGAGCATTATTCATAATGACCATATATCAGTAGACAACATAATCATGTATGCTGATGATATAGGGTTAACTTCTCGTATGAATGCTGTAAATAACGGCATAAGAGAATAATAAGAGAATGTAAATAACATTCTAAAAACATTAAATGGTTATATGGAAAAAATAGGTTGGAAATTAATAAAAACAAGATGAAATTTCTCTGTTTTGCCAATAAAAACAAAAAAGTTAATTTTGACCACCTAAAAATTGAAATACAGTGGTACCTCAGGATACGAAATTAATCCGTTCCGAAACTGAGATCGTATCATGAAAATGTCATAAGGTGAATCATTTTTTCCCATACAATTACATGTAAAACCAAATAATTTGTTCCAACACAAAAAACAAACTCAGATTAAAGCTAAGTAGTACAGTACATTTAAAAAAATAAAATAAATAACTATAGTAAGGAAATCACTGAAAAATGCGTTTTGTAGTTGTAAATGTATAAATAACCATAATAGAATAATAATTGATAAAAAAAAAATGTAGTTTTATTTTCACTTTACCTTTGAGGATAGACGACGGTGGAGGTGTAAACTGGTGGCGGAAGAGAGGGAGAAGGGAAATGATGCTAACACTTAACTTATATAATATAATCTAACAATAACTTAAACATAACCTAACACTAATTTTTTTAATATTTTTTGTCTTATACTTTTTTTTTAATTTTATTCACTGCTTTTTGCTTTCTTTCCTTCACTTCCACCAGCACTTTCACTGGATAGAGGTCGCTTGGTAAATTATCTAACCAAAGAAGTTTGGCTTTGCCTACTTTTTAAAATGTTTCTAAAATGACTTTGGCAAATGTCATTACTCTGAGCATCAATACGGCCAGTGTGAATCTTTTCGGAATGTTTATTTTCAATAAAATCAGTCACTTTCCGATAATAGCTCAAGATTTCCTTTATCGAGCGAGATCCTTCCACGATGAAGCAAACACGCGGACTGAGATCGATGAACAGAAGTGAATAAAAAATGGCGCTGCGAAATAATGTAAGATCGTATGGTGAGTTTTTGTTCGTATCGTGGAGCAAAAATATGTTCGAATTTCATGTCGTATCCTGAAAATTTCGTATGCTGGGGCGTTCATATCCTGAGGTACCACTGTAACTGAAAATAACATAGAAAGAGTAAGTGCTGTAAAGTTTGATGACCTGTAACATTTGATGATAATCTGCACTGGAATAGACAAATAGATGGTAATGCTTTATCCTTGGCAAACCATATTGGGATAAATAAAAAAAAATTCAAAACTTTTTAAGTATATTACAATTGAAGCAGTTATATCATATATGCGTGGAATCCAAAATAAAATATGGAATTATAGTCTGGGGAATTGCATCTTCATATACTATTAACAAACTTCAGGTGGTACAAAATTACTTTATTAGTTCAATTCATAATTTACATTTCAGAGAATCAGTGTCAGAACTCTATCACACTGAAAATATTGATAGAATATATGAAATCTACATGAAACAAGTCCTGTTGGAGCGTTATAAATTTATAAAGGGTAACAAGGAAAACAGCTGTCTAGGAAACAAAATAAATGAACATCGAAATGTATCGACACAGGATACTCTCAACATCTATGGATATAATCTTCCAATTGTTAAACTTACGGTGGGAAAATCTGCACCGATTTTCCAAATGACTTCCAATTGGAATAGTTTGAGTGATGATCTAAGAAAGATATCAAGTTACAAAATCTACAAAAAACAATGTAAAAGACTTAAGTTATTAAGTTATTATTATTAATCACTGTAAAAGGAGCTACGAAAATAATGTAAAATAATCAGATTGCATTTTGGTTATTAGTGGAATTAACCCTCTTACTGTTTTGCTTTATTTGTTGGTTGTTTGTTTGAAGATATTCAAAAAGGCCTGTCTTTTTGATTAAAAAACAACACTTTGGAACAAAATTGAAGCATTTGAATGGATAATGTAATAAAAACAACAGATACATGGTCAAAAACTTTTAATATATAAAAACAAAAGAGAATATACAAAATAATATACAAAAACAAAAATTAAAATCACATGTACTGTACCTTGTTCATATGACTGATGGTAAAAATAAATGGCATTTAAAAAAATATACTAATTCCAAAAGAAAGAAAATAAAAACTTAATGATTACATAAAATTATTAATGAAAATCATATTGTAATTGTTCTCTCACAGTACCTATTTTAGAATTAATCACTTTCTAAATAAGAAAACACTTCTTGTAAAATGTCATTGCAGTATGCCCATCACTTATTCCCAGTTTATTTAAAAGTTTCTTCACATCATCTGTCTTTTTCTGCATAAGTTTATTCCCCAATGGTAACAAATCAACTGATATATGACCATTTTTTACCTTTTTTTAGTGTTGCATGTTTGCACATCCCTGATCTATCAGAATAGTGCTGTTTTCAACAAACATATTTAGAGTTTAATCTTACTACTTTCATTTCAAATACTCTAAAATCCATTTTTATCTTAATCTGTGAATGAACTTAATCTGTGTTTTCAATTACCAAGTTGCCGGTCTTTATCAAGAACATGTATTTGTCTTATATGCACAAAAGTTTTATTTTAGTCTTCTGGTAAAAGAAGCAGTTTAGTTTTTCTTAACGTATTTTCTGTTTGTATTTTTGCCGTACTAATGGTGTACGAGACCGCTTTCTAGCATAATGAAATAAAATGCCTTAAAATAGATAGAATAATTAACTAAAAATAATCCCCAAACAAAATAAAATGGATTGGAATTGACGCTTACACCCTATAGTATATTCGTTACTCAGAAATGCTAATGTCCCTTGTGATAAACATCTGAGGGTTTACTCCATTTCTGTGTCAGACAAGAGTCGGCCAACAGCTCCAGTACCTAACATCCACATCAATTAAGTACCACACCTAACATCAATTAAGAAGAGTCACATTGCAGCCTCTTTGGCAGCTTCTGCTACATATGATCAAGTTCAAGTGCATCTAGACAATACACATCTTATACAACCTTACAGAGAGATCAGCCATCTGAAACATTTAGAGAAACTGTAAATATACAAAACTTGAAAGAAAGACATAGCCATTAATTACAAGTACAATAACAGTGTTTTGCAAGCATAGAGATCTTATTTTGAAATCCTCTGAAAGAATTTTCTAATTGGCAAACACCCAAATTCATGCTTGCTTTACTGTCCAATCAGATTCTTATTTCACACACTTTTCTAAAAATTTGTTTGATTCTATGTTCTTTTTTCAAACAGTTTATAACCTGGCAATGATTGCTAAAAGCAATCAAAAATGTTAGTTTCTTATTAAATTTAGATTACTTTTGTTGGAGTTTTGGTGTTTATTCTTGTATTATAGTATAGTCTTATCAAGTTATTTGTTATACATTTGCTTTTTATTTATAAATCTAGTCTCCCAATGATTTATTCCTGACTATGGGGCTGATATGTAGAGATTGATGTGTAAATTTAGATATTTATATGTATTGATTTTTCTGGAAATTCTAATAAATTATCTAAACTATACACATTACTTACTTAAATCAGAATGGTATTTATCTCCTGAAAAACTCATACTAACCTTATTTATTTCAGGTCATTAGAATATTGTCTATGCAGCATTTATAATGAAGAATATTACATAAATAAAAAGATTTATATTTGTGTAATTGTTAATAAACAAGTTTTCATAGGCAAGTTTGGTTACATAACTAACTTATTCATTGTTATAAATTGTTCTGATATACACACAGTTGTTTATCAAACAAAGTATAAAAAATACTATACAGGTGTCCTAATTCTAAAAATATACAATCAGATCTGCTTATTGTTATCTATTGTTTAATGTTTAACAAAATTAACAGTTCCAAAACATATAAGTTATACATATATAAACATTTCTAAGCCCAGTAATTATATTAAAGCCAAATGATTGTAGGATTAAATTGGGCTCTATTTCTGCTACTAGGCCAAATGATTAAATATTTAATTATTAATAGTAGTATAATATAGCTCAATTCAATCTACAATTGTTTGGCTTTAATATATGTATTAAATAACTTATTAATGTTGTTATAATTACTGGTATTAATAATAATAATCATAATAAATAATCTTCAAGTTATATATATTTTTTAAAATTATTGTTATAAGAAGTCCGTTTAATGTTAAAGTAAATAAAATCAGAATTTCTACAAATTATGATTTTATTTATTATTTTATAATTATCTACTAAGAACATTTTATATCAAACAACTTTTTCCTTTAAAACAGATTTTGGTTGAGGTTTTGGACTCTGGTCGAGACCTCACAGATAGAATAAAATAATTAAATCTCCAAGTTTAAGGTTGTTATTCTGTTAATAATTTATACATTGGATAGATTTTATGTTCAATCTATGATCACATACAGTTTTTTTCTCACAATCTTGTGCATAAGGTGGTGATTTTTAGCTTTATGCATTTTTAGCTTTTTTTATGCATAGTTATACTGCACATAATTGCCATTTCTCAAATTTGTTAATTCTGAAAAATCCTGTAATGTGTTTTCTTTGCATGTGTTCTAAAGGGTAATGCCATACATTGGTTTAGACTTTGCAGAACCTGGGCTAATGTGAAATGAGTTTAGCTAGAAATAAGTGATGGGAGGGCCCTTCTGAGAAGCCTCGGAAGGGCCAAAAAGTGATTTTTTTTGTATTTTTTGTAAACAAAATTAAAGCTGCAAAAAATTAAAATTGTTTAAGGTCATAGTGCTCATGATTGTCTTAAGGAGACAAGCATTTAAAGTCATAGCAACTTGCAAACCACCATGTTATTACATCATGCATAGCTTATAAACTTCCATGATGTCATGACTACGTTTTGTAGCAATTGTGTAAGATCTCATGACTTTTTGCTCTCATGGTATTTTGATGACTTGATGTCATTAACATCAGGTTACCAAAAAGTGACATCAAAACAGAAATCATCACCTTGTGCATGCAATTGTGTGACAATAATGGATAATTGTATGCAATTGCATGTGTAGGATGATGATTTTATGCAATGGCTTTTTTGAACACTGAAAAAAGTATAAAATAATGTAAAAATAATATAAAAAGTTATAAAGCTGAAAAAAATTCTTTGAAATTTTTACAAAGTCAGATGGATAGTACATAATATGATAATATCTAATAAGCATACCTAGGTAAGTCAATTTTATGCAAAATTATGATTTTAATAGTCGATAGATACTTTATTAAATTATATAATTTAGTTTTAATAAAATTTAAACTAAAAATAATTAGATTATTATTTTCTTAATAGATTGCCATTCTAGTTGTTCTTCATGTATTCTACACTTTGAGAAGTTACAGCCAATTTGTATGCTATGCAAAGAACCATCATATTTTTCTTTAGGTGAAAGCTGTGTGAAAGATTGCGGAATCCAATTTTTTCAGAATGATTTTGGAAGATGTGAAGGTAATATAATTTTTAATGAAATACAGTAGACTCTCGAAAACTCGGCACTCGATAACCCGGCACTCCGGATAACTCGGCCACACTCTGGCAGGGCAAAAATACACTTAGATAATTAATTTTCTTCATAGACAGCTTTATGCCTCATAAAGTATTTTTCTGAGGTCTGTCATAAAGTATTTTTCTGAGGTCTGAGTGTATACGAGCATTTCATCGTGAGATTGATGGATTTCAAATTGTGAAGACCATTTCCCCCCTCCAAAAAATATCTCTATATATGCATTGTGAACTGTTATTTGATATTTGTAATAATTTTTGTTTAATTACTTTATTTCAACTTTTTTTTGCTAATTATGTATTCGCTCGAACTTAGTTAAAACCTTAACTGTACCCCGAACAACAACCAAAGTTGTAGGAGGAAATTCGTCTATTTTACCGATCTAGGTATTCCTCTTTTTTAAATTTTAATATCGACTCAAAATAATTTAAAAAGACAAATTATAATAAAATGGTTTATTATCCAACTATCAGAAATTTCACAACATGCCAAGGAAGAGAGGAAGGAGCAATTAAATAATTAAAATTATAAAGGATTTAAAAATATATATAAAAATGGGGAATATCGCACTTCTGACAATCGCTGCGAGTGTGTGGGCTAAATTTGGAGAATCCGTGCTTCTCGCATGGACAACTGTATGTGGCCGGCTCACGCGTCGGAAAATCTTCTGATTTATTCGTGTACGCACCAGACAGAAAAACAAAAAATATCATGCATCCACAAGCACTCCAATAAATAAATAGAATTGAAACAACACTTTGAAATGTTTTCCAGATGAAAATGAATAATAATAATGTTTCAATAAAAATGATAAAATGTAAATTGAATTTTATCATAACAAGTTTGCTTGAATTTCATTTCTTCTGAGATTGCAGCAATGCATGATGGGTAAGCTAGTTGTATAATAAAATTTGTGGTTTTTTTAAAAGAAAAAGAATGTTTAATTATTATTGCTTTATTGTCCTTATTTCAATTCTTATTATATTTGTTAACTTGGACATAAATTATTAATAGGACTGTTTTAATTATCCAAGTTGACAAATATAATAAGAAAAAAAATCTCTCTTTCTATTTTATCAATAATTTTAATGTAAATTTGATTAATTTTCTGTTATATGGCAACAAAAAAATTGCTTGTTGCAGGAATTTTGTTTCTTGGTTGTAGTATGTTTATCTGTTTTAAATAAATGAGCTCTGACTTGGAAAAAGTGTGTTTTCAAACTCATGTTTATATGAAAAATTTTCATTCTGTTAATATGAGAAATGTGCATCTGAGAATTATCAAATATTTCAGAAATATTTAAAATAATTTTTTAATCTGATTGTGACCAGTGGTTGGCATCTCTTTGATGTCATGTCAGGATGATGTCATTGTGTGTCTATTGACACAGAAGCCATGATGACAATTTGTTTTTGTTAGGAACTAGGTCACATGAGTGGTTACTTGTGTAAGTGATCAGATTTTGGATGGAGATGCTCTATGAGACAGCAAGACAGAAGTGAATCACTCTGATACCAGTTTAACAAACAATTAACTGTTTAATTGTTAAGAAAAAAGTGGGTTACAGGATACATACATTATACTATGTCGAAATAACTGACCTATTCACCATAGGTTGCGAGAGAGAGAGTTTACATGATATTTTGTGTAGACATAAATACTTGAAATTTGGTTTGATCTGTTGGTAGACCAGAGCCAGGAGAGTATTCAGTCTTTTTCAATGGTGGAACTAGGGAGAAGATTGACAGCTTAGAGAAGTTCAGGATGTATTGCTCCCAGATCTGAAAGTTGACAGATAATGTTATTAATATTGAAAAGTTATATTATTTAGTTTAAATTGTTCAATTTAAAGTCCAAATTCTCGCATAATGATTGATAAGTGTCAAAAAAATTTTTTTTAAACAAATGATATGCTAAAAAGACATTTTACATTAACTTTTATTTCATAATTCACTTCATTACATTTTAATATGATTAATTCAATACATTTTAACTCTTAAAATTGTTAAATTTTAATTTGTTTAATATGTTTTCTAAGAGAAGATAAATTATATTTACATTTAAAATCATTTAGCCTGCCATCATTCTTGTTTGTCTTGTAATGCAAAGTCTACCAGAAGTTGCACCAGTTGCAAAGAAGGAAAAGTTTTAACTCATAATGGAAGATGTGTTGATTATTGTTATGAAGGATATTTTGAAGTGAATGGAGAATGTCTAGGTAATATAATGTTTTAGTAATTTGATTTTAACACATAAATAATATTTAAACAATCAATTTTAAAATAAAGTAAGACACTCTATAACCAATAAATGCTGTGAAGTATGGGTAAGTAATAAATGACAAACATTCTCATAATTCCTTATGGTTTCTTCTTTAGGTTTACTTAATTCTAAATAAGCTGGATCTTCCAAAATCATTCTAGAATATAAAATTCGAATACTGGTAGCCCTCGGTGTATGCCACAGTTCCATTCCTACAAAAGCCGGTGCAAATCGAATCAGAATAAAAAATACGCAAATAATTTTGTTTATTAATACAATATAATACAAAATACATATAAATTTAATACTTAAAATGTATTTTATCATAAAATAAAATGAAATGTTTTTATTAAAAAATTTAGTTTCAGATCTCTTACATTTTTCGGAAAAAAGTATTCATCTTTAATTGTTTACATTTTTTGTTTTCTTTCATTAAGAATTTTGGAATATGGTTGACTGGATGTAATGATGTTTCTTTCTACATTTGCACTTCGCTTCCAATCATTGTCTAACTCACAAAGTTCATCCGTCAAACTTTCCATAGTTGAAAGAATACACTTTAGATTGGCCATTTTCATAATTCTTGGAGTTTCTGTTTCATCATTCTTCTGTAGCTCTATGTCAGGTTCACAGCTCATTTAAATCTAACAGTTTGTGGAACGTTTTCTATTGGTCTAGATCTGACTAATCCCAACAAGCCACGATTCTGCCATGACATGTGGTGTCGTAGTGGACTTGTGTCTTGCTAGGATTGGTCAAATCTGGACAAAATCTAGTCAAATTCAGCATAGAGAAAATCGGAGAATTACACAGCGAAATGGTGAATTGCACAGCGGCATTATTGTGAATTGGCATTAATTGAACCGGCGTAAACTGAGGGTTACCTGTATAAAATCAAACAGTAAGATGAAGAGTTCGAATAAAGGGAATTTATGTGCATGCATCTCCTATGTCACTTTTAAATAAGATTGAACACTTAATATTGCTATCAAGTAAAGCCTGTTACATCAGTGATAGAGACATCTCTTCTCTAAAATTAATGCATGTGGATTTGCAGTAACTTTAAAAATTTTTATTGCTTCTAACTGCTTGAGGTGTTCTGCGTGTGGGGTAGTAAGGATGATTTGGGTTCTAGTAAAGTCTGCTGTAATATCAAGGTCTGTTACATATGTGGAGAGTGCCGTGGTACGCCTATGCCTACTATGCTGTATATCTGATTTATGCTCATGTGTTCTGACCTGTATTAAACGTTTAGTAGACCCAATGTACAGTACATCATTTCTCTATCTGATATGTTATCTCTGATAGAGACGCTATAAATGCTCAGTAGTCTGTTGGGGTTAGGGTGATCTTTTCCGTTATGTAGTAGACTGAATATGGAGGGGCATCTCCTGTATGTAATACTAATTCTTCATTTTTTGGCAATTGTGGTGTATAATGATTTTAAATGTGGATTAAAAGTGAGAGGGATCCTCTCCATATCCTTTTCCTGTTTATCTCTTGGCATTTTTGTCAAAATGGTTGATCTTGTCAGTGCTGTTTGCACACACTTTGTATAAGGTTGGTTTAACCATGTGCCCTGGCTATCCATTCTATAAGCCCTAATTCCTCTGCCAGTACTTGAGGGTAGAAGAATGTGTGAATGCTCTTCTAAGGCTCTGAAGGCTGCCATCTTGTGTGGGAATGGATTACATGATCCAATCAGCATATATGTGGAGATTGCATGTGGTTTATGATAAACAGACATCTATATGTCCAACCCCTCAACCCTAATATCTATGTCTATGAAGTGGACCCAGGTGGTGCTATATTGTTCCACCTCAAGGAAAAGCCCATACGGATTGTCATTCATTGCGTTGACAAACTGTGTCAGATTTGGTGTTGTCCTCCAGAAAGTGATGCTCTTGTCAGTGTATCTTTTGTACAGGACGATGCTGAAGAGGAAGTGGTGGAGGGTCATGCTTCCCAATTGTCTGAAAACCAATTCAGAGGCCCCCGGAAACTGGACTGCCCATGGGGACTCCTCTACCTTGTGTGTATACAACCCCATTAAATTGAAATATAGAACTATAACACACCAAGTGGGCCAAGTCCAATATGTGTTGATGCATTGCTCTATCATTCACTCTTGCAAACAAGAAGTCTCTGAGAACATAGAAACAAGGGGGTAGCTCTATGGAGGGGTACAAGGACTTAATGTCTAACACCATAATGTATTTGGGGGAAATTCCTTTGAACTGCTCTAATAGTTCTATTGCACTGGAGATGGCAAACTGATATCCATCTAGGTGTGGAGTAAGCAGAGTATGTATAGCTTTCTCCAACCTATATGTAGGTGCTATAGCTTTGTCAATCACTGGACAGAACGGTGTTGCCCTTGCTTGTGTATATTGGCAAATGCAAATAATTTAGGGACATTTGGTGAGTCAGTGACAAGGCTACCCATAGCTAGGCTGCTCACCAACTTTGTATTTGTGAAACACCTAACTCTAGATTGCAACTTATCTATCTAGCCCTCCTCTATATCTGTACATTGTGCCACATTGACATATTTGTGAAGGTGCCTCTCATATGTTTTGCGTTTCATAAGAACTAAGTCTTTGGCTTTGTCTGCCCGACCAGTGTAACTCTGTTTAGATGTATTCATGTAAGTGTATACCTTATCTTTTCCCTAAGCTCCGAAACTTCCACTGACCGGCAAAAGGATCTCCAAATCTGGGATGATCATGATCTTATGTGGGAGTTTGGAATGTAAGAGACAAGGTATTCCAACAAATTCTAATAAACGAACAGTTTATTACAAACAGAATTAACAACCAAGATACTGATGCACATCAGAAACGAAACTACATAGATAGATACAATTGGTCTCTGCTCTCGTTCAGGTTTTTACAGGAAATTACTACCGCGTGATTGTATTCTAAAAACTAACTTATAACTAACTTAAACCTAATACTACACTAGTAAGAAAAAAAGAAGAAAGAAGGAAGAGAAGTCTACCGGTAGCTAGCACAAGGGTCCTGATTGGGGTGGTCGATAACTATAGGGATTTTATCAGTCGACATCGGATTATATACCATTCCTTGTATGGTAGTCTTCACTGGGATTTATGTATATATTCGGCTCTCATCGGAACAAGTCCCTGGTCCTTTCTTGGACTCCTTTCCACTTGGTCCTTTCGGCCTTTTTCTTTGTCGACAAGTTCCAACAAACGATACTGACGATTCGTCCTACACCTCTTCTCTCGGTGTCTAAAGCCAAACTGTTCTCCTTTCTCACCCCTTTGTCCACACTCACCAACCTCACGGGCAAGACCCCTCCCTGTCCTCGTTGGCAAAACCACCAATCAGGACCCACGAAGTTCCCGCTTCTGTTAGGTGACCGGAAATGGTTATTAGTGGAAAGAAGAAGAAGGAAAGGAAAGAACAAAGGAAGTCTAAATATAAATACTATAGCTATTCATACAAAATGGCGGACAGCCACATATACATATACAAAATGGCAGACAGCCACACTTACACTATTGCTCATGGGAGGTGGAGGAGTGAATGCTGGTCCAAATGTCTTGTCGGGGGTTTGTCAGGACATCCTTGACAAACCCTGACAGTTGTAACCCACACAACAAATGGACATTCCTGTTGCTTGCAGGTCCTAGGCAATTGAAAGAGCAGAATCCATTGTAGTTTCTTGTTATAATGCTTCTTCATGTTGCATCTCAGCCTATTGTGTATGTTGATAAGTTTGGTGTTTTTCACCGTTAAGATCCCCAGGTCTCATTGGAACAAAGAATTCTCAATGTCTATATTCAATTTTATATTTGAATTTTATCATCCAATTTATATTCAAATTTTCTATTCTTGAATGATTTTGGAATGTCCAGCTTATTTAGAATTAAGAAAACCCGAGGAAGAACTTAGCAGGGTTTATTAGAGAGATTGCAACCGATGTTTTCATCTCTAAAATGTGAACATTGAGTGCCGCTATCTTGTAAGCCTAGAAGTTTGACAATGGCGTTTGGAATGTCGAGTGTGACAAGTAGAAGTTTGGCTTAAACGTCTGCATTTTTCTGTGTTTTGGGTTAAAATTATGACATATTTTATTAAAATAATGATTATTTAAGCATTTATGAATAACATTGTAAAGAAATAGACAATTTTAATCCAGAAATTATTTAATTATTCAATTTTTTTTCAAGTGATGTAAAGTCCTTATATATTTATTTTCATAATAGATAATCATAATACTGTAAAAGTTGGTTTGTTCTCTCAAGGCATCTTCTGCCATCAGCAGCATAATACGTTTGTAAATTTCTAAAAATAATTTTCTAAGCTGCTTTCGAATTTATATAAGCCAACACTTTTTTCAACAAAAATACGTTGTGAGAACATGAAAAGCACATCGGAATTTTTTTATTATAGCATATGGTAGGGGAGACAATGCTAATTAAAGTCAAAAATAATTATTTAGTGCTATTAAACATCCTGTAAATATTTTAAAATAGTTTAATTTATTTATTTACTTTTGCTGGTAGATTTCATCTTCCTTAAATGTTTCTGCCATTTTTCAACAATACCTCATGAGTCAGTGTGCGATGTAAACGTGTGGCACAACGTGTTCACTTGGAGTTCAAATATCAAATGTGTACAGTAGAGTGTTGTTTATCCGAATCAATTGGAGACTGGGGTTGTTCGGAAATCGATATTTCGGATAACCAATTATGTACGAAAAAATATATTAACCTATCCCATGTTGAAGTTTTTCTCCGTTGCGTGTTGCTTTGCGTTGAATTTTCGTCGATGTTAAGCCAAACAAAGACTATTGTATCGTTAAAAATTATTTTTTTATTTTGTACAAACAAAATAAATATATATATATATTTTTTTTTTCATTGGATAGTCATCATTTCCCCAATCGGGGATCAGAGTCACCCTTGTCCCGCTATCTGCACCACAAGGG